GCAGCGGTACTGCTCCCCGAACTCGAACTAGAAGAACATTCTTTTTCACTTCAAATATACTGATAATAAGGTTGAGGATAGACAAACTTCCAACTCAATCGCCTTTAACGCGATGAATATGCTAATGCAATTACAATCTTGCGCTAGCGAAGGGCAGACAAGACAAGCGAATTGGGGGGCTTTAAGGGAGAGCATCTGGCCCCCATGCGCCATTGTGGTTCCTACTGCGATTGTGCCTCTACTCGGCGCCCAACCACTTCAGTTCTCTCAGCAGAAAACCGAAAGCGAATATTCAGCCAACAGCCTCACCGAGCGACTAACCGATAACTTCACGTATTCTTTGTCACTATATGCTGTAATATAAAGGGATCAAATCTTGTAGAAAAGTAAAAGAAATTTGTTGAACTAGCTTGAAAATGATGACCAGCCAGTGATGACCAGTAGATGATCGTTCGTTCGTTCGCTAGGCTTGTCCATTGGTTGTTTAACTTGTCGGTAAGTTGAGCATACGGGACGTATCATACTGCTCTATACGTACGGTACGCTGTAGAATCCACCCTTAATAAGCGATAGAACGTTTCGGCTGACCTCGGCCAGTCAGCTAACGCTAGTTAGTTGACACCGAGCATTGATTGGCACCCATCTGACAAACAGGCAATCAGTAAACCATTCTGGACACTGGAGGATACCTAATTGTATTTTTTTTTGTTGTTCTCATTGACTCGTTCCTCTACTCAGTGCGTGATGTCTTCTAGCTTAAGCGGGTTTAGTGAAGCAAGACTGGACGATTTTAATTAGCAACATAAAGAGTACCGATATAACTAATACACATGATTATACATATCAATAGACGATACGTAAAGTAGCAATACGACATGTATCAAACATGTTAGCAACGAACAGGCGCTTCTGCTCCACTCTAAAACCATGTGCCGCTTATTCCCAGCCATCATTATCAAGTTGTCGGCTGGTTATGTTGCATATAAGCCAGTATCAAATGTTTCTTTTTTGTTAAAAAAAAAAAAAAAAAAAAAGAACATATACCAAGATTTCGTTTGCATAGATTGACATTCGCTCATGCTCAGCCTTATAGCTAGGCTACGAGAGAACTATCGAGAGGCTACTAATTGTTCGCGGTATCCGTTGAGAACGGTGCTTAGGCTATAACGAGACATCTCTCATAGCAGCAATTCCCGCTGTAATGGCGGCCGATCCGGCATAGCAGGCAAGTGTTCGGTCGGACCATTAACAAAGGGGTTTGCCTGATAGGCAGAACAGGCAGGCAAAGAGTCGTACACTTCTGCTCAATATGGCGCAAATACACGCACACCCACACACAATGTTAAATTTTTGATCGAAGACGGATGACGTGAGTTCGGCCCGAAACATAACTAGAAGTCAACACTACCGACCAGGAAACTGCGAGCCCCAAGATTTGGGTGGTAGTAGTAATGGCGAGCTTTCCTAGGTGCCCTCTACGATAGCGCTTTCGGTGCTCGAGCTTTACGTCAGCATCAAGTGAACGAATCGTCGGTTCAGGTTTTCATTCCTCATTCTATGGCATCGTTATTCCATGGTTATCTAGCTCAGCTAGGTATACAAATTGAACTAATAGTATTTCGGACTAGACTCCTGCGAATGGCCGCGATACAGAACGAGAGGCGGTTGGCTACTATCGGTCAGCACTACCCGTTTCCCCCGCCTACACATCAACGCAACAATTCATCACACTGAGGCATTTTGCCACGAAGCACCCCTACCCGACACTGTGGTCCACAGCTCAATGCGCATGTATAGTCGATATCTGGCGATGGGGGGGGGGGGGGGCGAACCCCAAACAAAATTTATCGACGCACTATGTGGTAAGCTAAAACGGGTCATTGCCTCTTCTAGACCTGGTTATCGTCTGAATAATATCAGCTTCGCGTTTCTTGCTCTTAAAAATTTCGTATGTTACTCTTTACAAGTTTAAGAGTGAACAACGTTGAGGTTGAGGCAGATTCATACGTGGTTGCGTTTTCGAAATTTTCACGTAGAAGTGATCGATCACGAAGGTGAAAACCAGCTAGCGTTCAAAGCATATGGTAAAATCTGCACAATGTGAACTTCACAGAATAAATCATCACTGACAATACGTAGTAATGTTTAACAACTTATTAGTATCGTGAAATTGGGTATAATGAAGGTAACTCGTGTGTAGAGGATTAAATCTAGTAGAAAAATTAGTTAGAGCACATCATCGATGCGTACATTAGCTGATGAGAGTTTCGTCTATTTATTCAAGGCACTATAACGCGACAGACCGCTTAAAACTCCCTTTCTCTATAGAAATACTCCGTTGACGCGTCGCTGCGCACCCCCGCTTAGTCAAAAAATACAGAAATCGATCCCTTAAAAACAGTCGGACAAGCATCCTAATATATCATGCAGCCATAATGATAATGAACGATTCTGATGGGCATTCTAAAAAAATAACTATGTCACTGCTGGTTTTAACGGTATCAGGGTATAAAGATCCTAGTCCAGCTAAGGATTCCAAGTTTTACATCTGACACTTAAGCCACCAGACGGCTGTATATATATACAGTTAATATATAAACTATTAGCAATAATGGAAGCCTTTGTTTTAAATCATCATAAGCTAAACTGATTTTCCGGTGGACTCACACGTACTGATCCACATGTATATATATATAATATAACACACATAATGTAACCATGTGTATATATCTCTAGAGGGTCTGCTAAGATCGAGATTCTACTTTTAGAATGCTTTATAGTTGACGATCGGTGCAAATATGGACTCAGCGTGGCTTTTCCTAACCGTGGGTAAATTTCCCGATTCCACCTTGTCTGCCATAATGCGAAATACGAAATGGCTGAGCTTTTTTTTTGCTTCCATTTATACGTTTACATGGATATCTTTGACTCGTAAGTGCACGCTATGTGAAGTTGTCCTGGTGGAACGTGTAGACTATGGACAGCTTTTACGGGAAACGTCCATCGTTCATACATACCGTGGCCTGAAGAACCGCAGTTCTTCAACTATTTTCACGTCAGACTAAGCTGTCAACACCGTCATTCACTAAGTTTGAGCATGAAAACATTGTCTTAGCCCATTACCTTGATTATTTTTAGTTAATTGCGAAAAATTCAATATTTAAGTACACGTTAGTAATAATCATTATTGTTATTGAATTACACCGTTGATTGATACCTTCCCCGTTTCATCTACGTGAAGGAGCCGGCGCATCGCTGGGCTTTCTCCCTTCCAACTGACAGGCACTCGACAGTCTCAGGCTTACCTCCGCGCCGTTGCTACTGGTCGACACAAACCATGTTGTTCTCAAAGGAAGCTTGTCCATGCAGTGCTATTGAGGATGAACTCGAGCATCATGAACGGCACCATACCGGGCAATCTAGATGGTTTGGTGCAGGACCAACGTGATGCGATTAACGATGCGTCAGGCCACCGCCTCAAACAAACGGTTTTCGAACCAATTTTGAGGCCCGTGGGCTGTGAAAGCAACTTCCATAACAGGAACTGGCTAGAAAACAAACCTTTGATGTGAGACGTGACTGTGTCACGTGCACGCTCTTCACGACGGCACAGGCTAGCATTTGAGAAAGTGCGTGACACCATCTCTATATAAATGAGCAGCACTAAATAGCAACTGTAAGGACTACTTATGCAGGTGTATATGTGTACGCCCTTGACCTGGACCCATCTGCAATTCAAGACAAGTACGTACTTAAAAAAGCATCTTGGTTGAGCGAAACGTTCAAGGTTGAAGCGGTGGTTCGCTTGACGGTTTTATTTCAACTTGAAACGTTTCGTTGAAACTCAGCACGATAGGGGTGAAATGATGCTGATAGTCAGCAGGAATCATAAAAAGAAGTTTCGTGCCAAAAAGGGCTAGCCAATTGACATAATGCTCCACGACAGCACCAGATCTAAAACTTGAAACAAACAACTTGAACATTTATAACATTAACCGATAATGGTCTCAATAAAGGTGGATTTCCGTGAATAATCGCAAGTTTTTTTCCACGACTATATGACCAAAAAAAATCGAGTACCAGGGCTGATTAAGGATAACTAACCTTCATTTATTATGTGTCAACACACAGTGTTATTAATTGCCTAGTCAATTAATAAAATCTGATATTTCAGCCTTCTAAAATCAAATGCTTTGGCCATTTCGAAGAACATTCGTCAAATATTTTCAAAGAAAAATGAGCAAAACGCGTAACATACAAAATACTAAAAAAGCACTGGTAAGACGTGCTTCTTTTGTCCTTCTAATAGTAACTGCAATTACGCGCACCTAATGTGTTTGAGAAAAGTGCCGCGACTCGTTGATGTGGCTCTGGTTAACGTACATGACAGGCATTCTAAACCATGCTGTCATTAGGCTAAGCCACTATCAGGCTCGTTAGTGGTTATTAGGACACTGTTCCATCAGTTTTTAATAAACGAACATGACGTTGCACCTTGGAGTAATGATTTCTTGGGCGATACAACAATAGTGTGTCATAAGTAATGCTCTAAGACAACTTTTTATTTCTAATAACCGTCGTGCTAAAATTGCGACTGTTAGATCGGTCGCAAAGTAATTCCGTTCGTCAACGCGCTTGAAGAGCTACCTGAGCAGCGACATCATCTACTAAAGTACTTCATATAGCTTTGCGTTGCTTTTTGCTAAGCTTTGGGTCGTTGACGAATACCTCGGCTAACGGAAGCCACATCACTACTAATAAACCAATTTTCGGCTTTCTTTAATTTCAAAATGCTTATCCTCGAAACCATGTTACATGAATCTAAACGGCTCTAAACTGACAGAACAAGGCCTGAGCTGTAGCCGGGCGTAACAGAATTTACGTTCGAAGTTTGTCACAATTTTCCAAGTCTCTAAGACCACGTAGAGTCTAGTGTTGTCACACATTAAGATCTTTCCGTGCGGTTCACTGCTTTTCCACTTCTAACCCGTGCGACTTACCTATGTCAAGGGTCATCCGGCGTTTGGCTGGTCTTTCTGTTCCTGAGTCACCTGTAAAACATTCTTCTTTCATTAAATTCCGACGAATTCAGTGGTTGAGCGATTGCTTGTTTTTAGGTTTACTGCATGACAATGGAGTGTTAAAGAAGAAAGTGATAAAAAAAAATCAGAAAATACATTTTCCCATAAAGACCTGAATACAAATTGACCCGATTGCAGTCGAACCCATATGTCCCAGATTGACTCCCACCACGACACCGACAGTACCCTTAAACGCGCTATCGGCATTGGCAAGCTTTAACCATTGAAAACGACTTATCGTTAACACTAACCCTTAGGAGTATCAGATAGGTTATCAATTATATTGATTTGGTGCAGTAAACATGTTTTTACGTCCATAGTTTTTCACCCTCCGAATACTTTGCCCACCCTGTTTCCTGTTCTGCTTTTGCTCCTGTTGACAAATCGTTGCATTTTGCGAAAGCAGTGGTGGCGTATTTTCTGTTTTTCCCCATTAGTACCACGGACGATTTCGCCTTTTCCTTGCGTGACTCACATCACAAGCATTATACGTCGTAAAGAAGTGCACATTTGGGCATTCTCTGCATTGTTTGCAACGTCCATCCAGCGTTGCTACACGTTATTTATACACTCTTATGATTATACACGCACTTCATCGCTGACTCAGTAAAAGCGGCTCTGAACCCTAGTGCCATTATTCTCGTATTGGGCCGGTAACCCACAACCAACTTTCCTCCTGTGGTCCTACCGACTAAAAATCTAGAGGTTACGTATCCACCGTGTACGGATCCCCTCATCAGGCACCATGTTGTCTGTTTTGCCTTGGCCTTTCTATGATCGGCTCCATCGTTATCACCACCACCACCACTGTCACCATTCTAGAACCAATGGTGGATAGGTTCGCGGATAAGGTGTTACTCAGCTGTTCTGTATAAGATCAAACCACCACCTGACTGCGAGGGCTTATTACCCCGCATCTGAACAATATACATACGTAGTAATGCGTATGATCATGACCATACTAGATGGCTGTCTGACAAGTCGCTCTGCATTAGGTAACCGGAATGTTAATCAGAGAAAGCGGCAGTGGAGGATTCACGTGATAACGTGCAAGAAGACTTAAGTGCAGCATAAAACGAATTTATTCATTGTGTTAGTATGCTGGCAATAGCTTAGCAAATTTCTGGTCGTTGGGTTATTAATCGTTTCAAAGCCCTCCGCAGATCTCTGGGAAATATTCAATTAATCAGTGACAGTATAAGGTAGTATGAGTACCCTAGTAAATAATATGGGCTTTATAAAGAAGACTAAGGTTTAGTGAGAGCTAACTCTTTATCAAACTGTTTCTCTGACTAGTAAAGGTGTTCTGAAATTTCGTTTTTGGTTAGAGTATGTCCGATACAAAAAAGAACTATTTTTTTGTTACATCTAGTTGCTTCAAGCAAGACACTTGTCAAGCGAAGAGTGTGGTTACGTTGAAGAATTCAAGGTTATGGTCAGTATAAGCGTGTGGTATATAAGATCTCCAGAGCGCCATAAATTCTATCAATGTCTGGCTGTAGCAAAGTTCTATGTATGGAATAAAAAAACGTACCCAGATCCTCCAATACGTGCCGTGAGCTAACTCGGTTAGCGCAATACGAACGATCAGTTTTCGAGTCGCAGTACATGCTCCCAAACGCAGATTTAGTGTATGATTTTCGCAGAAGAGACCATCCAGAAGTATCGTAGAACAACAAACCACTCTTGCCCATGAAGGCCGAAGACCCCCACACCATCTCACCCTAAATAAGCTGAACGTAGCGTGAGCTCGATTTTGAGTCGATTCCGTAGAGAATCTTGACTCAGAGATCGAGGAAGAGAACGAGGCAAAAGTAAAGGAGTAACATTGAAAAAATAGCCAAAAAAACACACACTCAAACACTGTTGAGCTAAGCTTGATTTTTCAAATGACTACGGTTGTGCGGAATATGGTTTACTAGTCTCGAAGAGAAGCATTGTTTTAGAAATGTTTTTTTTTTCAGTGAAGAAATGCCTTTATGATTATTTGTTAATTACTGCCACACTTTCCAAAAGACAGATCTCCGAGGGTTTCTGTTTTAAATTGTGTGGCTGATCTGATATGTAGGAGAAGCAGGGAAAACCTAAGATCAGTTCGGAACGCTAACTCCCAATACTCCCATTGCCCCCAAAATAACTGGGGCTGACTTTAATTATTATTATTACTATTTTATTATTGGCCGTATCGGAATTAGTTCACGTATCATAGTGTAACAAAAGCAGATATTAACGTTAATCGTTACCTTTCTAAACGGAAACGTATGCTAAATAACGGATGTCTATGTTATTTTTATCGTACGCAATTTATTAGTTTAGGATTTAGATATATATATATATATATATGTATATATATATATATATATATATATATATATATATATATATATGTATAGAGTTTGGGTATAAGTTTCCGGCTAGAAATTCAATGTACTATAAAAAAATTAGCTTGTCAACGTTTTCGATAGTGCGAGGACCTATTCTTCAGCGATATCTGCTCTATATACGAATTCTGTTGTTTATAGAGATCTAAATGTAACTAGTGGCTAAGTTCGCATACAACCTTTGAATTGCAAGGAATAGACGTTACTTTTGAAGCGTTCTAGAAACTGTGATAGGGATTTGCTCTCGTCCTCATGCACCCTGCCTCTTGTTCACCGTCTTTTTTCTCAGACTGAAAGAAGCGAAATACGCGAAGACATCAAAGGTCGATCAGTATTTTTTTAAAACATTACCAAGTTCGTGTATAATATTTCGTCAACTTCAGTTGTATTGCGCGTTTCGTGAATTACATACAGTTGCAACTACGGCTCAAGGTAAGGCGTCTTCAAGTTATTTATTTGGGGAAGTTATGTATAGGTGAGCGTCTCGGAAACAGCACGTTTGACGCAGTGGTGAGCTAACATTATCCTTTATTACTACCATTGCTTTGTTGTAAATCATTGCTTGTGGATCGGTATATTGAAATGCAACGAGCAGCTATAGTCGACACAGCATCAAGATGAGACCGTTCAAGCACTACGTTATCTAGTGTTCTAGGTCGAGCCCCGATTATATTATCGATCCACTCTTATCAATATTTACCTGTTATTCGACTACTTTACCTTCCATAGATTAAAGCGTCAACATGATATCGATGCTGCTGATGGCTCGTTCCAATTGCCTATTCCCACAGTATATCTCAACGGTTCGATGGCTTCTTTCGAGTAGATAGGCTCGGGTGAAACTAGGGTTCTAACTCTAATTAACTTGTGTACCTCGGGAGTCCTTTACTATTATATTCATTTAACGACAGTCTTACTCTCTCATTTGACTTCATTTAGATAAATCTAATGAGATTAAGCCAACCAGTTGGCAATTATTCAGCTGGCTGTTTACTATCTTACCTTCTCTCCTTTAGCCCTAAATGTAGTTTTAGCCCAGCGCTGGCTGTGAAATGTCAGCTTTTCGAATGATAATCAAAATCGGATTTTGGTTACGTACTTACCCCGTTGGTGAGAGTTCTCCACTTGCCAGGTCTGAGTAAAGTACGTCTCGCTTTAAGGTTATGACTACCAAACGTCATCATCCCGAGGTGGCACTGAAGGGATCTGACAATGTACAGCAATGAGATCATATTTAATGCGTACGGGTGCTATTATTTTTCAGGAACACTCAAATGGAATATTTGTACAGTGAGAACGTAACGTTCAATGTATGGGTGCGCAATGGTCCTAGTCCAATAGAGACTAAGCTCTGGAAATCGCAAAACAATAGCCTCTTGAGGGCTGATTATTCCATATTCAAAGTATTTAATTTAAAGCAAATGAAGGCGCTGACAGGGAGATCACCCGGTTACGTGACGAATAGTTTTACAGACGGGCACAAGCTAAACTGTAGTTACATGAATTACGTCAATTCATGTTTCTTTCAAATGTATCCCCTAGAAAAACTCTGTGCTCATTTTAAAGCATTAATAATGACACGCTGCTCCCATCTGGAAGTACGTGTCACAGCAGCCTGGCGGAGGATGTATTTGGCTTCAACATGGTTGGCTTCTAGTAGCAGAAATGTTCGCTAGCCATGAACGCTAGTCCCGGCAAAAAGTCGCGCAGATTCTTATCTCTCGCGAGTATGGCCGAACGTGACACAGTAAGTGAACGTCACTTGGTAAGCCATCTGTCAGCTTTAGCAGGTGGCTTCCAAAGAGGGGGCATGAACCAAAAGATGCGACAGTGTGGGCTAGCGTTTCATGTTGATTGTTACTACGGGTATAAGCTCTTGCACCTCGTGTACTCACGGAACCAACTTCATTGGATGCTGCTGTCTGGGTAAGTGCTGAACGTTATGCCTTAGTCCATTGGCCTTTCAACCCCAATTCTCTCCGCCATGGGCCGTTTCCATCTCGACAGCTTGCTCGCATTTTACTCAGTCCGGAACTGATTTATACCAGGTGGATACGACACGATCTTTGCTGGTCGTCTAGTCGACATCGCATACTCAAAACAAGCATTGGATAGCACTATACTGCGACATGCATAGATGATCTAAGCATATTTACATATACATAGATATAGATGTGTGTATAGGGCGAACCGCGCGTGTGTCTACTGTTCTTCGAGGCAGATTCCTGGTTGATAGGATTTAGATTTATATGTCGATATCTATTTTTTGCAAATGCACTCCCAATTAAAGAATGATAGTTCTACTTAAGGTACGACAGATAGTACATACCACCTAGCGCCTAAATAAAGAAAATACGGTTCACATTATTAGGACCAAGCTTGGGAGCGTATGCATTCAATCGATGACAGGTGCAAATGCAGACTTTTGAAGTTTGATTTGCGTTATTTAAAAATATACCGAGTTCAGGTTTTGAGGACTATGTGGTTAAAGGCCGCGGTTAGAAAGTAAGCCCAACGCTTATGTATGTTGTACTATGGATTCATGAAAAAGTTGGTTGCGCCACTTAGCACTAATAAATGTATCTTTCTTCGAATTGTCTTCTTGGTTGCCGCTTATGCTTTGTATTCCTTCAAATAGGTTGGTATCCAGGATGGTAAGTGGGGTCCTTTCGGCTTCAACAGAGTTTAGTTGCATCAAACACACACCGTGATTTTCGTGTCCTATTGCTGGGTAACAGACAGCCAATGGGGGTCACGTAATGCCACAGCGCGATGGGTCGTCGTCGTATGCCTTTTCTAACATAATGATATCGTGTGTACTGACGGTGGCTGTAGTGTACGGACGGCATCTCGTGCGTATAGCTCGTTCGCTGGCTAGATCGGGTACTGAGCCCAGTAAGCTATATATGCAGCTTTATGTGATTTGGCTCGACAGAACTGATGAAACGCTACCAAGGGTTGCCATAGATTGGTTATCGGGGCGAGGGGTGGTATGACGATATGTTCTATACGTGGTATAGAGAATCCGTGGTGAATCTGACAGTCATAGATATATGTATGTATCGCAAAGAAACCCGGCGCGGCGTCAAAAGTATTGCCGCAGGCGGGCGAAAAGTAAATCGTACGCGTAGTCTGGACAGATTCAAATATGGGTAAAGATGGAAGGGATTTGCACGTGCACAATCTTTGCTGATATATAGCGGCAACCTTCAACGGCAGCATCGAATTCCGGCTGCCATCGCCGCTGCTAGCAGTGGGGTGCATGCGGCCTTAGCTCTCGCGCTTCCGACGTGGACATCATATATCCACATCATATGAAATTGTGCGGACCATTATAAGGCCTGCGACTAGTAGAAACTGTAGTAGAAACAGCAATCTAAGGCGCGGCTATTCGAGTTGCAATTTAGCTAGATGCTGCTCCCCATCGTTGTCGCCGCGTTTCTGAAGACGTCTCAAAACGTTAAAAAAGTGTATGCGAAACCTACAATAACGTGTTGTTCTGTGCCGTTTCTGGTCGTTGTGCTGTACGACGTATCGAGGTACATGTACACAAGGTATTATATATGTGTAAGGTGTTTGACGTCGTGTAGCATTATTGCCGAAAATGAATTCACCCGGTAAACGAATGGGTTGGCTGGCGCAATGCACCGTCAATGCGAAATATCCGTTAATGTTGATTTAATGCTATCTACACTCACAGTTTACTACGGCGTTTGCAATGATTTCTGAGTCAATAGGAGGAGCGAGCTGCGTCGGGACACAGGTCGCTCTGAGCCGCAAGCTGCAACCTGCAAGGCAAGCCATATGGCGGTACAGCGAAACGATGGACTATGTGTATTTAGTAAATCAGCGCATGTATCTGAATGACGTATATTCAGAATAAGACCGCCAAGAATTGGAAACTCGTCGCTTTGTCGACCGGTGCACCTCAGGAGCACACTTATAGTCCAAGTTCACTGCGGCCATACGTGCCTGCAATCAGTTATATTGAAGTTACACATCAAGACTGCTGGAAAGCATGTGATAGAGGCTAGGGTTGGATAGAACAGCGACTTCCAAACCTCAATTGTCCAGATGGCTTCACTCTCAAACGCGACATCGTAGCAACTAGAAACGGCAGCTTGGTCTCGGTGGATTGTCTGCAATCGTCTTCGCCGCAGAAGTTGTTGTCTTCACTGATTCCACTGACACGTCAGGAGCCAAGGGACCGCTGTCCTCTTGGCTTTCCCTGCTTTTGCCCTGCAATGATTTGCTTAGTCCCTGCGCGCTCGTTCATGCGGATTGCGGATAGCGTAGCGTCGGGCAGACATGGGGGAGCGATAGGGCCTAAGTAAATAGGAGGAGGAGACGAATAAGGAAATCTTCAAAAGGCAGATAGAGACAATAGCGCGGTCCGGCGAAGTGACAGGATACCAACCTCTAAAGCCTCCGGCTGGCCCTGACGTACTCTCTACGAAGCTACTGGCGTTTGCTCTCTGCTTAGCTTCAGTTGTTAGTCCCCGAAAACAACATTGAGAAGTAGTCAAACGGTATACAACAGTACAGACAACGATGGTAGCCGTGGTACGGTGGCAGATGCGGACTGAACTAAACTCCTGGCTGGTGGCGCCACCTTCTACGGAAATCATTGTTACCTAATCGAGACGTAGATAATTGGTGGTAGGAATAATTGTTGCTTAGCCCGTACCTCCGGTCTGTGTATCCTGCGGAAGCTTTTGGAGAATTTGTATAAATGGTTACAGCCCTAAAAATCATGAGCGCCACTTTAGATTGTTTAGCACCTATAGGTCGGCCTTG